CAATCACCACCATTCTCTCAACAATCAATATCGATGAGCATAGATCCATGGTCAATGCAATCATCGCAAACTCAGCAACAACAACAATCATCATTCCCTCAACAATCAATATCGATGGACATAGATCCATGGTCAATGCAACTATTGCAAACTCAGCAGCAACAACAATCACCATTACCTCAACAACAACAACAATCACCACCATTCTCTCAACAATCAATATCGATGAGCATAGATCCATGGTCAATGCAATCATCGCAAACTCAGCAGCAACAACAACCACCATTCCCTCAACAACCACAACAAATACTAGTTAATGTTCAACAGCAGCCGCAACAACAACCACCGCAACCATCACCAACGCTGCAACAATTACAACAACTATCACCATTTTCTCAACCATCACAACAAATATTTGTTAATGCTCAACAGCAGCAGCAGCAACCGTCACAACAACAACCACCGCAACCATCACCAACGCTGCAACTATTACAACAACTACCACCATTTCCTCAATCATCACAACAAATAGTTGTTAATGCTCAACAGCAGCAGCAGCAACCGTCGCAACCACAATCACCGCAACCATCACCAACGCTGCAACTATTACAACAACTACCACCATTTCCTTAACCATCGCAACAAATATTTGATAATGCTCAACAGCAGCAGCAGCAACCGTCACAACAACAACCACCGTAATCACTACCAACGTTGCAACAATTGACACCTAAAATAAGTTTTTTGTTTAAATAGTCGTTATAAATATCAAAGAATTGAGAAGAAGCTATTTTTTCTAGTTCACTTACAAAAATTATTTAGTTCAAGAAAACTACTCAATTGTGCTTTTAATTTTGAATAATAGTCAAATATTTCTGATTTGATAGCAACAGATAAATCAGTCAATAAATCATCCAATTTCTCTTCCCGGATTTTTAAATCATTGCTTAACTGACTTTCTAAATCCCCAATTTGATTTAACAAGCTAATCTTACGGAATGTAAGATTGCTCCTTTGCGCAAAAGGAAAACAATTAAAGGCAAAGAACCTGAGCTGCCAACTCTTGCTGCGGAAAAGAGTGCCCCATTAGTTCCAATCACTATAAATAATGATGAATCGCTACACAAAAGGAAATGCAATGAAGATATGAATAGCAGCAGTGGAAGACAAAGGCAAAAGAACGGATAGTTGCCTTATCAAGAACCCTTTGCATTATTGGCATTATGATATTCTATTTTATTTACAAATCTTATTAATTCAATTTTCTTATTTCTAGTTTTGTTTTTTAAATATCAATTTTAATAATTATAGCCAGATTTTCAGTACTGGATATATTACGTGTATTATTTTTTTGATTGGTTGAATTTCAACATGCGAAATTACATTATTATTTTTTATACAAAATTTAATTTTGTATTATATATACTAAATCTAGCATTCGGGAATGAGTTAAAGAATTGTATTCACGTGATTAATATCCAATGGTATGCGCAAAATTTTTGTAAGAAACAAAATTCGATACAAAAAAAAGCACTATTCTTTTTTTATTACTTCTAAATTTTATTGTTTAGATTATATATAATTTTAAATCACAAGAAATCAAATATTTTTTATAAAGCTTTATATTAATATATTTTAATTAAGCAAGTTGTTAATAAATCTATCAAATATTATATATTAAAGAATTAAATTTATTAATAAAATATAGTAAAATTAAAATTTTTTTATATTAAAGTTTATAATTTTGTTAATTTTATTTTTTATATAAAAATAATATTCATAAATTATAGTTTAATATATATATTTTTCAGATTTTTAGATTTTTTTTGAAAGAGTTATTTTAATTACAAAAATTTTTTAATTAAAAATAAAAGTTTATTAAAAAAAATTTGCAGTAACTTATGGTTTTTTCAGAAAAATCTGAAAAAATATATGTTAAACTATAATATATAAACTTTATTTTAATATAAAAATAAAAATTATTTCTTAATAATTATGAACATTAATATATAAAGAAACTTTAATCTTTATCATATTAGAAATAAAATTTATTTTAAAAAAAATTCAAGTTTGACTTAAACTAAATCAAATCAAACTTTTGAATTTTTTTCAGAATATTGATCTTAATTTTATTATTAAAAAAGAATAAGAAAAAATATTATATAAATATTTAATTTTAATTATTTTAACTATAATATAAATAGTTTAATTTTATTAAATACTATATTACTAGTAAATCTTTTAAAGAATTCATCTTTAAATAAGCTATTATACTAAGAGAATATATTAAAATATTATAAGATTAAAATAAGAAATTAAAATAGAATTAAAGACTATATAAAATTTTTTCATCATTTTTTAAAATATATTTTTATATTTTTTTTTAAATATAATTCAATAAAAAATAATATATTATATAATATTAAAGAAGAAAATAAATAAAATTAAAAATAAATAAGTAAATTTGATAATTAAAATTTACAAATAATAAAGATAAAGAAAAAAAATTTAAATAAATTCATAAAATAGATATAAGTTTTAATTTCAAATAGTTTAAAAAAAAGTAATTCTGATTTAATCTTATTAACTAATCATAATTAATCTTTATTTGATAATTAAAATTTTTATATAAACTATTTATTAATTGATATTAGAATTATTTTTATCAAGAAAGAAATTAAATAATAAATATAAAATATATAAAAAATATTAAAATATTTTTATATAATATTCAGATAATTTTTATGATACTTAATTTAATAAATAAATTATTCAAATAATATTCTTATAACTAGTTTAAATTTATAAAATATAATTTATAAATATTAAGATAAAACTTAAAAAATCAGTTTAAAAAATAAAAAAATTTAATTTATTAAATAAAAATATATTTCTTAAATTAAAAATAGTTAATAAATATTAATTTTATTTTAATTAGCAAAAAATTTATATTAACTTTATAATTATTTTAAAAAAATCTAAAAAATCTAAAAAAATATATATTAAATTAAAAATTTATAAATTTTATTTTGATATTGTAAGATTATTTTGTTAATGATTGTAAACAAGATAAAATGCGATATGAATAAGTTTTAATTTTATAACTTATAAT